ATGTCCACTCATTAGTAAAATCTGCTTGAAATTCCATATCTACATATGGTTGTTTAAATGACGGACCGGCTACATACATATGGTAAAATGTATTATGGTAAATTTCTATATGAATCACTGAATTCCTGCCTATGCATTTAGCACATATCTTTATATCCTTATAATGACCCTGTTCAAAATTTGATCCTACTAATACAAATGTTAGATACTTTATGTAACATAAGAGATGTAAGTGGATTTCCCAAGCTTTTAAATATTCCTTTTCTAAGGCATTTAGTGTTACTATGTGAATAATACACTTAAATACAAACATCTGAATTCAGTAAAGTATTTAATAACATTTGAATTGAGTATAGAGATATAACTGCTTAACAAATATTCTTGTTCATTTTTCAGATTTGTAACAAACGATCGCAAGACAATACTAAAATGGTACAAATCTTCTTTTCTGCCACGATTATTATACAAACGGTATTGTATTTGAAGATGTAATACTCCACGAATATATATAACCGTTAAACTAAATAGAATATCGCAAATAAGCTCGTATATTTATAAGTTTTTATCACATGTAAATAGCAAAACGAGAATAACACACAACGAAGAGGAGAAAGTTGAAAGTTTTGAAACTATTGTTAATAATATTGAGAAAGTGAGAGTTTGAATTATTTTTGTTTTATGTATGTCTTACTGATAAATATTTGTACAAATTGTACCCAATTACGCATTCTAAGTAAAGCGCAATACTATATGAAAAAACATGTATTATATTAAATATTGTGAATTATGTTATATTAAAACTCTCTGAGTTAACTTTATATAGTTACCATTAAAGGAGACTTTTATACGCTAAGTAAAACATGTTTAAAATTTAATCTAAAATTTTATTATTTTGCAGTTCAGTTAGAGAAACTGTAATAACCAATATAATGTCGAAAGAGGTATTATTTACGATTATACTCAATTTTCCATATAACATATTTATGTATCTATTTTATACTTTTCTCTGTACTTGTTTAAATATAAGAGATAATAAACTATATTCCATTAAATATTATCTATCTATTATGTTGAATCGCATACTAACGGTGAATGTAAAATTTATTAGGCTTTTAAATTTTAATTTATAGTAAGCCCACCTTTTTCCTTTACAATTCATAAAACATTGTTGCTCTGATATGTCCACATCAAAATATTAATTCTTAATTAAAGGTAGCATGTATTGTTAAAGCATTGTGTGATCGTTGCAACGCTCATAGATTTTAACTTTTCTTATTTATTACGTAAATAAAATGTGCAAGAATATACAATAGAATTTAACACGTTATAAGACAATTTTTAATAATCCAAATATGTATTGTTTTTACTGTAATATTTGTATCATATTTTTAAAATAATATTTTTATTTTCGCAATTAAATTAAACGTAATATTTTAAAATGTTCCTATGTATCTAATATATTTGTTTATTACTATTAGTGACTATTAAATAAAAATATCGCGAGTACAATGAAAAGTGCCTTTTATTAAAAATATTCATAATTCGTTTGTATAAACAACACCTCTTTTATATTATATACAGTAATGTTATCAACGTAATGCTAAAATCTTATATAAATGATCAAAATCGTTTAGTATGTCCTTCATAAAATTAATGTGTTACGATAGACAGTTACATAATTATTACGAAAGTATACATAATCAGTCTCCAAATCTCTCCATGGTCTCCAAGATGTAAAAGGATTTTTAGCACTATGGAGAGGTTGTAAGTGCGAACTTAAAATTTGTTTTAAAATAGACACGTTCTGTTCTGCTTTTTCTGCTGATGTGGTAGTTAAAATCAACGGACAGTGTCTAATCCGTGATAAAAATATGCTCCGCGATGAAATATGTCCACTCATTATTAAAATCTGCTTGAAATACTATAATTACATTTGGTCGTTTAAAAGACGGTCCGGCGACATACATATGGTAAAATTTATTATAAATTTCAACATGAAGCACTATATTCCTCTTCTTGCAGATACAACAAAGTTCTATGTCATAATGATCCTGCTCAAAATTTGGTCCTACTAGTACAATTGTTAGGTTCTTTATATTACGTAAGAGATGTAAAAGGATTTCCCAAGCATTTATATATTCCCTTTCTAAGACATTTAGTGCTACCACGTGAATAACGTATTTAAATTCAACCGTCACAAATAAGGATGAAATAAGTGGTTCTACTAAACCAGCATTCTTCATTCCATTATAGAATGTTAACGGTCCTGATACATAATCACAGTAGAAATATTTAGAATTCATTGCAGCTATTCTGGTGCTTCGTGCGGCAGATCTCGCATATTTTGTAATAAATGCATTCATGTCATTAATAAATTCTTCTCGAAGTTGAATAAATTTTATCACAGTTAATTTGCATATAAAAGCTCCGAT